TCTTTGTACACTATTGTTAAATTTGCTCTGAAAAATCTTACTGGAGGGGAATGTGATCATGATGTGGACCAGGAATTGGGACTGACTAGAAATAACTGTTTTCATTGAATAGTAATGCAGGATCATAAGACAGACAATAACGTATTATTTGACTGATTTTAATTTGCCTTTATTTAAAATTTTGATATTTTATTCACCCTGGATTTTCATGCATAAACTTTGATTTAAAAAAAAATTGCATTACTATATTTTTGACTACTGAGCTTTTTGTCATTTCTTTAATCATGGCTACTGAGATGAGTACCTCACTTGTGTCTCCCTCATCCTGGCCCTGTTAATCTGTTATTCAGATTTTGCCTCAGATATGACGTTGCTCTTTAAGAATCAAAAAACTATTTGTAATCTTCTTCAATGCATGCATCTAGTCTAGAGTTTTTTAAATGTCCTAGAAACACGAAAATTCCAGAGATATTAATAGGTGTTTCATGAAAAATAAAGGTATTTTATTATAAAAGAAGTTCAAGAAGTTGCATATTACCTCTCTCTCTCTCTCTTTTTCTTTGGAAACTGACAGTTATATTAGCTTACTAGGTTCTGAGAAGCCTCATGATAAAGATAGCTGCTAAAACATTCTTAACCAAATTATTTGACTTGTTTCATAGAGCATCTGTTATCATCTTGGGGGATACCCATGTATTATTTAACTATTATTGCACAACAGATGACCCTAAAATGTAGTGATTAATAATGACAATCAGCATTTACTATTCTTACAGTTTCTGTCGGTCAAGAATTTGGAAGCGGTTTTACTAGGTAATTTTAGCATGGGCTCTCTTATAAGGTTCAGCCATGATGTTCACCAGGACTGTCGTCATCTGAAACTTTGGGGCAGGAGCAGCTTCCAAGGTGACTTCCAAGGTAATTGGGAAGTTGGTGCTGACTTTTGGCAAAAAAAATCAAGTTTTTTTTAGAAGGGTTTACATGTGGATCTGCCCACAAGATGCTTGAGTCCTCATGACATGATAACTGGCTTTTCTCCAAGCAAGTGATATGAGAGAGAGACACGCAGAAGCTATCCTTTTTTAATGACGTAGCCTCAGAAGTCAAATGTTATCATGCTGACAACATTCTGTTTATTGAAAGTGAGTCATGAGGTTTAGTCCACACTCAAGAGGACAGAGTAATGCTCCTCTCTTTGGGAAGACTGAAAGAAATTATGAATCTATTCTTAAAACATCATAGAACATAATCTGGGAAATTTTGCTGCAATCTTCTGTTTTCTACCCAGATATTTTTACTCACTGAAGGCAGAAATCGAAGCTCAAACCCAGATTCCCAGCTGCCCAGCTATGCACTCTAACATACAATAAGCCTAGGTAATTGTAGGGAATATCTGCTGCTTTTGCCTACCTTTCTCTCTGGTTACAGCAATGCACTTTTCTTTTGGGTTCCAGCAATCCAATTATCCACAACTCCGTATGGGCTTGGTGGGAACATCAGTCATGGTACCACCGATACCACCATCATCATAGAGGTGGGCACAGGACCAGGTGGCCAATCAGAGACCCCATTCTCTTCTTTCTAGTGATTGCGTTCGTGATAGACACATGACCCAAGAAAGTCCTCTAATATTTTATATCTGTTGCTGAAGAGTAACAGATGCCAAATCACAAAGAGGAAAGCATCTGTAGGAGGCAAAAAGAGAACCAACTGGGATGGGAAACACAGCAAGAAAATCCTAACGGTATACATTAGCCACTGTATTCAGTTGTGCATGAAGCCATTCCAGTTATGTGGACCGAGACATTCATTTATTTTTAAATCTAGTTTGAGTTGTTTTTTTGTTGTTGTTTTTTTGTTTTGTTCTGTTTTGCAACTGAAGTAGATCTGATAGTTCAGATATGATGGCTCAGCAAATATAACTTTAAAAAAAAACAGTGACTCTAAGCATTAGACAAAGCTAAGAAATAAATACGACAAATTTATGGAACAAACTGGTCTATTAGAGATGAAATTCCCAAAGTGCTTTATTTCTTTTTACTATATCATTTGGAGCTGTTTGTTCATTTTTTCCTACCCATGAGTCATCTATTACAGGTCCTCTAGCTTTTCCAGTCACTCTCAGGTATGAATAAATCGTCACATATTTTAGTAATAGAAAGGGTAGTTCCATTTAATATTCCACACCCAAACTTTCATTCAAATGAACATTTCTGATATCTCTGCTTCTCTATCTCAGGAAAGACATAGTTCAACTTTTACCAATGTCCCCACTCACTTTTCCACACCTTTTTTCCCAACATCCTGAGCCACTGGCTTCTCCGAGGTTGGAAACTGGTTGAGAGAGATTTATGAGACAGAAGTGACCTTTGGGCTTCACTGAATATTCAAATTCTTGCCTTCTTCCATGAATCATTAGGGAAGTTTTTGGAGACTCATGTGCACACACTATTACACATTTCCTGAGACTTCTCACTGACTTTTTCCAACATAGGTGCTGCCTCTTTTGACCAGCTGCTTATGACTTGATGCCTGATTTCTGGAAGTCGACTTCCACAGATGTTATTTGTTGGATTCACATTGTCCTGTGGCTGTTTCTTTCACGCCGAGTCCAGAACCATAGCCATCTTTGAGGTCGCACTTTCCAAGGGAACCACTCATTGTCCTGCTGCACCAAACTCTGGCAGAGTAGGTTTTTCCTAGGGTGGGTGATACTTAGGAGTCAACAAGGCAATTTGGGGTCTCCTTCTGTGAATGTCTGCAAAGATCCTGCAACTCATTTTAGAATGTGAAGGTACTGAGAGTACTTGGCTCTGGAATTTCAGCGAAAATTAGGTAACAGGAAAGGTTCCTTTTTAATATTCTTCACAACAATGTCAACCCTAGTTTTTAGGATAGCTTTTGAGCACAGGGCTTTGGTCACTACTTCTCATGATACTCCTTTTTTATTAAGCCATCAGCATCTACTAATTTCAAGGCTAGGCCTGGTGGTGACCTGTATAAGTAAATGTACAAGTCAGGGAAGTGTGTTTTAAATATACTTTTGGAGAGATGGAAAAGAAAGCAGTTAGTTTTCCTAAACTTGAGACACTTATTATCAAATGGTGTGGCAGAGCTATCACAAATGGATTCCTAGGAATAAGACTGACAGATGCATTCACACAACCACCTGCAGCTCATCTGTAAAACATATTCTTTAGTTGAAAGGGGAGAAATGCAGAACAGAGAGTCAGAAAGACTGAGATTTAAAAGGCTTCTGAATACATGTAGTACAACTCAAAATATGCATTGTTAGCCTACCTTGTACAAGGATATAAAGTTTTGTAATTTATATAACACAAGAGATCCTTCTCCTAAGAAGTGTATAATTGCACTACAGTTGTATCATTGATAAATGGTTGAGGGATAGATACCCCATTCTCCATGATGTGCTTATTTCACATGGCATGCTGTATCAAAACATATCATGTACTTCACAACTATAAACACCTAACATGTAGCCAAAAAACATTTTAAAAATGATAACAAAAGTTATACTGTTCAATAACTTGCATGGAGGGGCATTAAAATTACAACCACAGGTAAAAATGGATACATTGGGGATGAATTTTGGAAGAAGCAAAAAAAAAAAAAAAAAAGAAAGAAAGAAAACAGTTATAAGAGGAGCATGTAAATTAGGTATGAGTGGTGGTTATTAGAAGGTAACAGACATGCAGTAAAAGATAAAGATTATAATTTTCACATTAATTTAGGTATTCCATTTTTTAACATAGCTTGCTTCTTTAAAAATGACCAGAGCAGATCATTAATGCTTGATTTTAGGCTCTAATTTGTAGTTATTTGGTTTATTTCTAAAAAGAAGATGGAACCACCCTTTTTACCTATTAGGGCAGAGGCTTCTCACTTTTGAATTGAATCAAATGGTCTTCCCTGAAAGTTCCCAAAAGCCACTTAGTGCAAACAGTTCTTTTATTGATTTTTAAAATGCTTTAATCAATAGTATAAACTATTCATAATTTAATAATTTAACACCTAATTTAAGTGCTTCCCCTTATAATTGCCTTCTACTTTTTTACATCTTCCAAAATCCACCTCTAATATATCCATTTTTGCCTGTGGTTATAATTCTGGTTTCCCTCCATGCAAGTTATTCAACAGTGTAACTTTAGTGCAATTGATGAGTCAGTTCTGTAACTCAACAAATGTTACCCTGAAAGACTGGTGACATTCTATAATACTATCATTGTTTTATACATAAACATCAAGTTTTATTTTCTAGTGTCATTATTGCTTAAACTCTTACTCAGATAATAGATAAGATTAAGTCACAGAATTTCCAAATTCATCAAAAGTACTTGTTTTTTTTTTTAATTTAAGCAATATTTCTAAAAGTGATTTTAAAATGCAAGATCTGGCTTTATGAGGTAAGTACAAACTTAAAATTTTAGGATTTTTGTTGGAATAATGTTAAAAATCTTAATTGAGGCCTACTACGTCTTGTGCAATAGAATATGATTCTTTGTGGCAGCAAAAGATAGTCAATGATAAAAGAGACTCAAGATAAAAGCCTAGAAAACCAGTCTCTCTCTCTCAGAAACTTCACTTAGTCAAGTGCAGGGATTACTGAATAAAAGCCAATTAGATCTGAAGGGAGCAGACAGTGGGAGAATCATGAGGCAGAGTTGGGGTAGGATTGTGTCAACAGTCAAGGAAATACGTGAGTGTTTGGTCTTTATCCTAGAGGCAGTTAGTTGCATCCAAAGAATTCTGAACAAAGGTGTGGCATGATCAAATTTGTGTCTGACCGCAATGTGGAAGAAAGACCTGAAAAGTCCAAATTTGGGGGCATATAAGCTAGTAAGTAGGCTATTATAATTATCTCAGTTACACAGGACACCTTACTTAGTAGAATGTTTCCCTGAATTCTTACCGTTGATAATCTAGAATCAAAGCACATGACAGAAAGTTGTACTGATAATTTTTAGGTCAAGTGTACTTACTAGCATCCCAGAAGATTTGTCAGTGGCTACATTTTGTCTAGTGCTAATGGCTGATGATATTCCAGATATGAGTCAGAGATTCCAAAGCTAATTCTGATAAATATTGCTTCCATCCATCCTCTCCTGGTGTTTGATGCTTGGCTTCCAAATTTCCTGGTCACAGAAGTCTAGGCAATGAGAAAGTCAAAAGTTAGGATATTTTATAGTTTAAATTATTATATGTATATATATTGGCATTTCACCTAAAATCTGGTAAGTTTCAGAGTAAATGTCTCTCCTAAGGAATATTTGGGGTTTTAATATTACACATAAGAAAAAGCTGAAAACCTGAATATGTGTATCAAATATTTTGCTGATAACATGAACGCAGTATTCAAGTGGTTAAAAGAGGGCCTATTTTTGGTATAGATTCCTTTTTGTTGTGGATAATGATCTATTTTTATTCAGTTTTGTGCAGTGCTCATTCAAAGGAGTGTTAAGAGAAACATGATTTAGAGAATGATAAAACAATCTTCTGAAACAGACAATGGATTTGGCTTTGATACTACAAATATTATGGATCTAGATAAGGCACTTAATAATAAGGCTTCAGATTCTCATGCTATGTAATTCAGTGAAGCACTATAGGCTCAGGATATTCTGGCTCTTATCACTTAAAGTTAGTAGAAATGGTATTAAAGAGATTCAGGTTTTGCATTTATACTCAAAATCATTGAAATTTTTTCTTCCAAGGGTGTTTAGAAGGACTATGGTTTGTGTGTGTGTGTGTCTGTGTGAAGTATCAGCTTTTAGTTGGTAAAATACTGATCTTTGATGATGGAAACCAAAATTCTTTCAAATTATATGTAACAGACATCAATTGCCCTACAGAACTATTTTCCAGTTTGGTGAGTTGCCTTTTTCCTTGATTCCTGTTTATACTTTCCAATCCAACTAGGGAAACTGAAATGGATCCTATTCGGCCAGAATTCTCTCCTGAAGTCTTACAAACTCTGGTTTGTTAATAGTGTACTAACACAAAGCAAACCAGTTTTTCTGCTGGAAAATTTCTAAGCGGGTTTCATCTCTGTTCTATTGAGAGGACCCATAGGTATTTTCAGGAGTGTGGATTTTATGACTGCAGCTTGAGTGCAGCTGTGTCTTTTCCAATCTAGGGCCAAGAGACAAAATGCAACATGAGATTTTTTAAACATTCCAAGGCCCATCTGCCATGTAACCCACTTATCTTTGTGGCTGCAAGTTCTTTATTGATCCAAAATGGTAAAGAAAAAAAAAATGGTAACAAAAGGGGAAAATGCAGGGGAAGAGAAAAGCCATAATTCCATTCTTTTGTTGTTCTTCCAGCAGCATCTGTGAGCAATTGTCACAATTACTAGTCAAACTGGATTTGACTTGTTGCCAACATGAATTTTCCAAAAATCCAATGTAAACAAACTCTGCAAGTACTTCCTCATTTGCCAAGCCAGTAATTATTTACTTTGTTTGGGCCTAGCATTAATGTCAGTTCAGCTTTACAGCCTGTAATGTGTTTGTTAATGAAACTGTGAGGTCTAAAGCTACATATTAACCTTGCCACCCTTCAATTTTGAGCTCAATAAAGTTGCACCATGGTTTTGTAAACTAGTGTTGGGGGACAGGCAAATGATTAATTATATTTTCCCCTTTCCTTTATCCAAGCAAATTGTTAATCTTTAAGCCTGCCTTGCATTTTAAAGTTAACAAACTAAAATCCAGCTGCTGGGAGATATGATATTATTTAGACAAGTCTCTGTGGCTGTTTTGATGCCATATTTGGAAGTCGTCAGCAGTGATGCTTGCATTGATGTTTAGTAACCTTGCAGGCACTGCGTGCTTCTTGAAAGGAAGGAAAATACCTTAGAAAATCTGGGAATATCTATTTGGTAGGAAAGTGATGGAATGCATGGTGGGACCTAGTATTCATTTCATGGAAACTAAATCAAAGTCAGGTGTTTTCAGGATATTTGGGTAATTCCGCTAAAAACAAAAAAAAAAACAAACAAAAAAAAAAACAGACAAAAATTCCTGATGGGGCGGAAGCCAAGAGCCTAGGGGGAAAAAGACTTCTGACTTTAAGGACATGATACTTTTCCCTCAGTCACAGTGGAAACTGCTCTGTGTCTGGTCCCTTAAATATACAGTGTGCACTGACTGCCAACAGAGGTCAGGTAAAAAGCTTGATTCACATACAATTTCTATTCCATGGGAATTGGGAGGACAGATAGTAATCAAGAAAATAAACAGGCAGATTCATTCAGATCAGGATAAATATTACGAAGTCAGTGAAATAAAGGAATGAAGCGTGAAGTCACTGGTGCAACCACGTTTGTTTGGGTGGTCAGATAATTCATCTTCGAAAGGGAGACATTTGAGCTGATACCTGCATATTGTGACAGAGCCCCCATTAAACGTATGAGGAAAAAACTTTTCAAGAAAAGGGAAGAGCAGCAACTATTTGAGCTCTTTGGTAGGTACCAAGAAGAGGAGGAAAGCTGGTGCTGGTGTTGCTCTAAACAACTTTAGATGTGAAAGGAAAGAAGGGATAGGGTTTTAGGATTACACCTTTTAGGATTTCAGAAGAACAGAAATTCTTCTGAAGATTATTGGAGCACCCTTGATCTGTTTAGGAGAGGGACAAACACAAAGGGGAAAGTACCTGGCTGATATTAAATACAAATTCCCTGGAAAAATATCCCTTTTCATAAGTGCCTTCGTGACCACCTCCTTTTCCAAGTGTTTGGAGGCTTAAAAGCCTCAGGAATTGTTACAGATTTGACTTACAGATGAAATTTAGCACTTTACTGGGGAGCTCTATTTGATTTACCTGACATGGAAATTGACTCTAGATAGAGGTGTCTATTTTATCTAATATAAAGCTGTAATGTTTCAGGAAGTTAGATGATTATTTTCTCCTTTATCTCCAGAGAAGGTGTGAGTAAATCCCCCCAAAGGAATAATTTTGTTTAGCATCAGAAACTGATGGTTGTGTTTGATTATGTAGTTTTAAGCTCAGAATAGGCATTTTATGCAAAAATCAATATGAATTATGGAAAGAATCTAGCATTTTAGTTACACAGTGTAAGAATTTTATAGTTAGCTACAGTGAGGAAGGAAACTACAGAAGGCAATTTTGAGACTCTCAGGAATCCTTTTTCTGGGGAAATACTTTACACTTAACAGTGTAAGCTGATGAAAAATGCACAAATTGGACATTCTCAAAATAAATGGTGAGAGAGAAAATGTAAAGAATCTTATGAAAAATGTCAATTCCTTATGGAAAATTATATTTTAATTTCCTTGTATGCCCAGAGTTCTTGCATTCGTATCTTGTGGATTTTATTTAACATTTATTTTGAAGTAATCTTAGCTTATGAGCTAAAAATTTCAACTTGTCTTACCAAAAATATTTTTACAAAAACAATCCTTCAACCCTGGTTCACATAAATCACAAACAGAACAGAAATTGGTGGATAATTGGATTGAGCTCTGAGCTTAAAGATGAAGGAGACAAAAGCATGCCCCAAAGAAGCATTTGATAGTCTTAGTCTTATCTGTGGATGTTTTACACCAGGCGTGGAGGCAGTATTTGTTTACAATAATTTGTGCTATCTGCACTGACATTTTATTTGAGCTGGTATCCTGTATCTAAGCCAGAACATCCATGTATAAGGGTTTGTTTTGCTCTCCTGCTTTGGTTCAAATGTGATACTAAAGCAACTCTGCCTCTTTTGAAGGCTGAGCTGGCAAGCTGAGGTGCTTGTTTCTAATAGAGGGACACAGGCTGTAGAGCAAGAATGATAACAGAAGACAATGACCTGTCACGGGAGCTTTGCAACAGCTGTAGTATTCAGAAGGCCAGAAACAGTGCTGCAAGCTACTTTTGTAGCTATGGTGTACAGAACTTAATAAACTTAAACTCACTGGATCTGAAGTAATTGCAAACCTCCTACCCCTCTGCTTATGCTTCTCAAGTAAATCTTGCAAATCCTCAGCGATATCTGCCTTTTAAAAAAGTGTCATCATTTGTGATAATAATCACTGGAAGATACACAGAGGCTCTTCTATATTGTTTATGGCTGGAATTTTAAAGAGCGACTGCATAGACAAAGAATGAGATATGTTTCCTCGTTAATGATCCAGTGAGCCAAATGTATTTTCATGCATGTAATCTAGCCATTCTATGCAGATGCACACTGAGTAATGCTCCAGGCATTTCTACTTTTTTCTTGTTCACAGTCTTCCAATCCTTTTGTTCCTCCTCCTCCTTTCTCTCAGCCCTTGTTTCTAGAATGTTCTCTTCTAAATCAGTGATGAAGTTGAGAATAACTTCAGTAGACATTCTGAAGCTAAGTGCTCAATGAATTAATGTTTTTAAAATATTTTAATTTATGCTGATGACTGCAAACAAATTTTTAAAATTCATTTTAATCTATTTTTAAATGTTTTTTTTTTTTCCCATCTCTGCACTTAGGAATATGGAACAGAGAGAAAGCTTCAAAAATGTGGAAAGGAAACCATGATAAAAAATAAAATCTATTCAGCAAAAATGGTTATTTTAAAAATTGTACTTGTGGAAAGCAATGACATTCATATTTAAGGTAGATTGAGAGTCATCCCAAGATCCCAAGATTGTAACCTAATGTATGAAAGACAAGGGTTTGGTTTAACCAGTTTTTTAAACTGGAAGAAACTCCTGAAGGCAACACAGATATTTCAGACTCTTTTTTTTTTTTTGCCTATAAATTTTACTAATAAACTCACATGTAGTTTAGTTACTTTATGATTCTTTTAATATTAGGGTAATGGAGCACTGTATCTTATTCACCACACACTTCAGTAGTATGTTCCACTTTCATCTGCTTGTTTGCTGATTCCTTAATTGGAAGACTAAGTGTCTACATTGATTAGTAGACTAGGTATCCACTAAAAGAAAGACTGTGAGGATAAAAAGAGAAGTAAGACCGAGCCTCTATCCTTGGGATCTTCTTAGGGCACGTTTTCCTGTGCTCACACATACATATTCACATACACTTACACACATACACAGATTGTCAAAGTATTTCATGTGCCAAATAATAACCTTGCCTGTCTACTTGGAATCTGGTGGTCAGAGTGT